TTTCTAACACAGTCAGGCGCTAGTTAGAGTAGGACTGACAGAGGAAATAGCAATAAATGGCATAAAAAAATAGGTCACTTAGACAACATATATGACATTAAATAGTAGAAAGCAACTAAAGATTAAGCCATTGTAATGCAATGGGTTCTTGGACTCTACCTTGAACCAGTTTTGAAGAAACAGTGATGGCAGATTACCTTCATAAGGTACCACATGAAACCACATGATACTGATTCTCCCTCAGTGAAGGCTCTCTCCCACCAACAGCCCTCATCTTGGGAACCCAATTCCTTGGCCTAAAGGCTCATGGGCCTGTTGGGGATGCTGCGAAGTCTCTCCCTCCCGCTGGTAAATGGGATTTGGAGAAAATTGATGTGTGGATAAGAGAACCCTTGAGCCACAGCCCTTGACCTGAGCAAAGGCTGCTCCATCCAATATATTAATTAAAAAGATGAGCTGTAGGTGTTTCCTCAGGGGAACTGTCATGTCTTATATTTAATCTGATTATATACCTAAATGAGCTCTGTCCAGAGGGCATATATACAATTACATACAAATTATATCCATCCCTAAGGAGCTCTGCCTTCACTCCTTTACTACCTGTAACAACTATCAGCCCATACCACAGTGAATTACCACTCCTTGCATCACCTCAGTTATGCCAGTGAGGTGGAAGGGCAAAGTCCCGAGTGGAAGTCAATAACAGCATCTTGTAACTTGTCTAGAGACGCACAGTGAGTTTTTCTTCTGTCATATTGTGCTTAGACCATAAGTTCATCAGGAAAAACTAACTACAACTACGCAATAAGTTAAGAGGTCTCAGCAAGCTGTGACATTTTGCTATGCTTAGAAGAGACACCACAATTCTTGTGCAGCAAGAAGTGCTGAGATGGTTTTAATGGCATCTGCTGTCTCTTGATTGAGAGCATAAACATTTCAAAAGTACAAGCAGCATTACTGCAGCCATACAGCACTAGACAGCATTATTTACCAACTGTGACCGAGCTACTGCAATCAGTCACAAATTGCACATCTAGCTGAGGGTTATTCTGATTTTGTTTGAGAAATGTCCTCTTCTGGATGAAGAGGTATTAGCAGCTTCACAAACACTGTCAGCTAATCAAAAAATATTAGAGAAGCTTTCCACAGCTTAGTGGTTTTCTGTCACTTACTCTAGATGTTAGGAATGTGTGGAAATGAATAAATGTATTAATACACAGCAGCCTGTCAGGAGCCCTTGGCACGTCGTGAGCCCTTGTACTGCATTTGCCAGTCAAATCTGCCTGATACTCCCAGCACTCCCTAAAAGCGACCCATTCACATGGGAATTGACAAGGAGTCTGCTTTTAAATGGTAATATTTTGTATTATGGTGCCTGACACTAATTTCTACCTAAGACAAAAGTACTATTTAATTTACATACCTGACTCAAATGTGCTGTTTATTTACCTCACATTTATGTTCAATAATTTGAGTGACACTGCGACTTTTCTTACAGAAAGCACTGCCTGTGTGCTACTGATTGCTCATATACATAGCAAGAGTGCTCACTAATTTCATTCCCACCAAGTTCTGCTTGCTGCTATCCAAGTGGATGAAACATGCCTTTCTGGACTCAGAAATACCCTTGTTCTGGGACAGAAACAGACTATTGGATGGGAAGGGAGGCCAGGGTGGCAGCAACAAGGTATGCAAGGGAGAAGGGAGGAAAGGGGAGAAAAGCACTGGTGGAAAAAAACAAGAAATAAAGTGAAGACAAGTGAGGCCTCTTTCTGTAAACTTCCTCTTTTCCTTTTTTCTAAGGTCCTCTCAGGCTTTTCCACCATCCCTTTTGATTGATAGCTTCCTGCCCTCTCCCATTCGTCTTTTCTGATTCCTTTACATCTGGCTTTTTCCTCTACTAACACACACCAAAAAGTGGTCCCAAGTGACAGAGCCTGCTCCCAGCAAGGCAAGAGCTGTGGGCAGTTGGGCGATACCCCTGCCAGCTGGAAGCCTCTCAAACAGGGAACTGCAATGCAGTGCAGTGCTGTCTTGCCATTATACAGCAGGGAAAACCATTGCAAAGATGGATGCTCCTGTGGAAATACTGGATATCAAAAGGTTTCCCTTTGAGTTGGCATCAAGACAAAGAAAGTAATGACATGACAGTAAATTGTTTTGCATAAGAACAAACAAATCTCTCCCATACAGAATGGGATGCACATCTGAACAGTAACCTTTTCTGTGCTTTGGTGTCAGAAACAGAGCAGCTGAGTGGTGTGAATTTAGGAAGCATTTTTAAAGGGAAAAACGTGGTTCAGCAAAAAAAAAAAATATACAACGTACCTTCTGTTGACACTGGTATCACAAATTGATAATATGCCACTGTAGATCAAGGAAGAAGACAAATGAAATAAGAAACAATCCCCTCTTACAGTTATTTCTAACTAGGCAATTATTCTACTAAGAACTTTTACAAGCAGTAATAACGTGTGGTATCTCATCTGCTCATGGTTTGTGACACTCTGTAGTACCAGAGCATGTCACAGGGCTGCAGTTCTGCCTTGAGAGGAGTATCCTTTGGCACAAAACACAGATCACATCCTGCTCCCACTTACACTTATGTGAAACCAGTGTGCTTGATTTATTCCAGCAAAGGGATCAGAATACAAGAAAGCCATTTTTTAAAACATAACTGATTTGAAAAAGGCCAAGATCTCATCAAAGAAATCAAAATAGCATACCTTGCAAGATACATGGATATGTACTTTACCTTCTGATGTGTTCCAAAAGACACATCTCACTTTGCTGCAAGCTGTATCTATGCATAAAAAAATTCATATGAACTTACACAGTGTCACAGCCTTAAGACTGATTCATGTGTTTGATCAAGAGCTTATCAGTTTTATGACAAATTACCAGTCAGTAAAATTTAATACACAAAATTGTATATTCTGTGATCCTTGAGTAATGCTTGATATATCAAATGAGATTTTTCAGTAGCATTTTTTCAACTATTTAATACAAATTTCTTGCAGGTTTTTTTGTATTGCAATATTTTTCATTTCTTTTGACCTTCAGTGGCAATGTAATATATCTTTATATGGAGACTACCAGGAGAATTTCTTTGGACAGGGAGTAATTTTTTTTGCTGTTATTCTGCTGGTTCCTGTTAGATTCAGCTGCACATGGATATTTAGTATTTTATATCACTGTATCTTTGTAATCTTAAGTGTTCAGTAAGAACAAAACACATTTAGGCTAACCTTCCCTTTTGGTATTCCTGCACTAACTATGGGAAGAATTACGTTTAATTACCTGTGAAGCATCACATACACTTACTACATTCAGCAAGTAATAAGCCAAATTTTGAGGTTTCTCCAAAGCTCAAAATATTCCCTTTAAGTCCCACATCACTATATTGGTGCACAGTGTCCTGAGGGACACCTCTTTCCAATGTATAGGTTGATCCTGTTCTTTTTTGTTTCTCCATCTCAGAAAGAGGTTAGAGCTCTGGGCCTCAGCAAATATAAGTGCACCTCAGCTACTTACTTAATGTATTTTGCACTAGAAAATCTGGCAGACACATGAAAAATCAACCTTCTGCAGTAGCTAAAATGGATTGCCATCTTTCTGGCATCTTAGTTTTGAAGTCAACTCCTACTGAGTTTGATCTTCCTGACTAGAAACTCAGGACAGGTTTCTGTATTTGGCCCAATAATACTAAAATATAATAAAGTAGTCAAACTTCTCTTTAAGGAAAATATCAACATCACAGTGTCTTCGATTCTCCATTGTCCAGTATTTAATTAAGTCACTCGACAAATGAAAGAAAATGAATGTTCAGAAACACCACAGACTATAAGGTCCACTTAACACTATAAGGTCCTTGAGCTTCTCCAGCACTCCTTTATGCTAGGCTCAAGGACTGGCTTTCCTTTTAAATTGCCCTAGAAGATCCTGTTTGAAACAGAGCAGAATTAGCTGGCTGCGTAAGAAATCCTTGGAGATGAGAGGAATGCACAGAGCTGCAGCACTCTGCCAGGCACTGAGCACTGCTCCAGCACATAGCACACACCTGGAAAGCTGCCATCACCAGCGGATGAGCTTTAGAAAAAGGAGCTGAAATAGTTTAAACACGGGTGCCCACATGCAGTGCCCACCCTACATCTCATCCATCTGATGGGCAATATATTGCAGAGAAGAGCATGTCCTCACATCTCCACTGCTTGGCACTACAGCCCCAGACTCAGACCAACTTCAGCACAATCGAAGATGCTGCTCACACTGCTCCTACCCGCAAGGCAGAACCTCCAGCAAGGGGCAGCGCTCACAGTATGGAGCAGGAACTTCTAAAGAACACCACAGGTGTTTGCTTCAGTGCCCACAAAACAAGGTCTCTGGGGAAGCCAGAGGGGAGGTCTTAATCACACAGGATCCTCTCCAGGCACCAGAATTGCTCAGGTTCACCATGGTAGAAAAGGCGGCTAAATGGTGCAAGAAGCTTCTGTCCTGCCTACACCAGATACTTCATCATGGGACTTATGATTTACACCCTTTTGGACCTGATAGAGCTTGGCCATGCTGGACCCTGGGAAAATTATAGGCACAATGGGAATAATTTATTTTAACAAACTAAAAATGTATTGTGCTTTTGGAAAGAAATTCATAAATATTACGCTTCCATGGAGTAAAAACATTATGTGCCAATATATTTTCTGCCCCGACTTAGGAAATAGGTTCCCAACTCTACGATTATATAAATATGTTAGTGAGCACAGCTTTATGTGTACATAATTCCTTCTTTCATCTAATGTATTCGCAGGTAAAAACTTCACTAACTTGTGCAATAGTTCTTACATGTTTGTAATATATCTCTACCCGAAGAGCAGCAAATTACAATAGCCAATTTTGTATATCAGACTGCTGCAGGGGAAAAAAACAAACAAAAAATCAAACGACAATACTAACAAAACCAAAAAAGCACTGATCTCATATTTAAAACTGTTTTCCCAACTTTTTCTCCCCAAAAATGCATAACATTAGTGTGTAAAAACTAAACCACCACATGAGGCATATTTTAAAGCCTCATATAATCAATGAAGTTTTTATGGCATCCTCAGAGCAAAGAATGTCCAAATATGGCTGAGAGTTAAGTACCCTGAGAATTGACTGCTCTTAATGAATTCACAGAAGTTTTGAAGTCCACATTTACCAAGAATCAGAAGAGAAATAAAGGGAAGAGAACAAGGTTCAACTCATTTTCCTGTACTATTCTCTAAAGATATCGGGTTATAAACATCCTCCATATCTTGGATACTGGAGGCATCTGTTGAATCTTGGTCACTGACTACAATTCCTACTGAAGAAAGGCTAGAAATGAAAGAGTGCATCTTTTTTGCATAAATATCCCTAATGTTAAAATAGGGTAGGTCGTTACACTTCTCTTTGCGATCATTGTTGCATTGGTCTGTATCAATAGCTTTTTGCTTTTGATAGTACTTAGAAAACTTATTGAAAATGATGGTGATTGGAAGTGCTACCACCAGTATCCCACAGATAATGCATAGGGTGCCGAGCAGCTTTCCAGCAAGTGTGACTGGGTAAGTGTCCCCATAACCAACAGTGGTCATGCTAATGGTTGCCCACCACCAGCAAATAGGGATGCTCTGCAGTTCTGATGAGTCGTCATCTTTCTCCACTGAGTAGACAAGCACTGAAAAAATAGAAATCCCAACAGACAAAAACAAAAGCAGCAGTCCAACTTCTTGATAGCTATGTCTCAGAGTGGCACCTAAAGACCGCAGTCCTACAGAATGCCTGGCCAGCTTCAGGATGCGAAATATCCTCATTAGCCGCAGGATCTGAACCACTTTACCCATGTTTTCAATATCTTCGCTTTCTTCTTCCTTTGTGTCCACAGCCAGTGTGGCATAAAATGGGATAATAGAGACAAAATCAATAATATTGAGTGGTTTCTTCCAGAACTTCTTTTGACTTGGAGCGGCGATCAGCCTGATCACTAGTTCACCAGTAAACCAGATGATGCACGTAATCTCCACAGCTTCCAACACAGGGTCTTCAATCTCCCTGTCATGGGCATCCACCCTGTGAAATTCTGGCATGCTGTGAATGCACATGGCCACAATTGATGCCAGGACAACACTCAGGGATGACACGGCAATTAACTTGGCAGACAAGCAGTATGCAGGATTTTCCATTCTGACCCAGATCTTCCTTCTTATTTCACCAAAACACAGATTGTCAAACTTTTCTAGCTCTTTATCAAATATGGATGACTCTTCATTAGAGGAGTCTATACTGTCATTGCTCTTCTGATCCCAGTCTTTATCAGGACCTTCTTCTTTCCTTTCTTGGTACCGATTGCTGCAGCAGGAATCAATAAACAGCTCATTTATCCCCCAGTACTCTATTTCCTGGCAGAAGGAAAAGACACAGAGTTCTTCCATAACGTGGAGTTTGCCCGTATAGTAAAAATTCAGAACATATCGGAACAAGGAAGGATTTCTGTCAAAGTAATATTCTTTATCTGCAACACTATAATCATCACACAGTTCTAAAATAGCCTCTTCTGAATGGCATTTGAGAAGTTTTCCGAGTCTAGTATGGGGGAATCGGAGCAAGGTGCTTTGATCCACTGACTGCTTAAAGCCACCCACATTCAAATTGATAAGTTCTGTATCCTTGCCAGGTCTGCGGAAAAATTCACCGTAAACCATTTTGGACAGACAAGTTCCACTGCTGTTGCCCAATGAGATTACACTGAACCTGAAAAGAACACAATATATTGTTAGAGCACTTAATTCAGTTTTGCTCTTGTGACATATTCTTTTTTCCCTCTCCGGTTACCGTGAAATGCTGTAACAAAACAAACAAACAAAAAGAAGAAACTAAATGATGAATACCATTATTCAGCATTTCACAGACATAGTTTTAAATCAATTTGATAGTTCAACACAGCTTTATCAAATTTGAAAGCAATAGGTTCTGGTTTAGGTCTCCTTTTTCCCAGGGTGAAGGAAGAATGTTGCATTCAATTATGCAAAAAATTTTTAATTTAAAGACAGAAGACTTGTCAATCCATCAAAATATTTAGTACAAAGCTTTAGAGCAGGTGTCTCTCAACTACGTTTCAGTAGAACTGTATTGATTTATATGATGTTGCAATTTATAATCCACTATGTTCCAATGCTGTTTGCTTGAATGTGAACTGCAATTACTCCTGTTGACATATCAATTAATTTACTTCTAGAGTAATCCACAGAAAAGCATCCTGTATTCTTGAAAACATATTAAAAGTTCATTTAAAGATTTCTAATTCCTGCCTTCAGAATTTTGTCTAGTACATATACAGGTATCTGCAGTCCCATCAGTTACTTTTCTATCTGCCTTCCCACTCACCTGAAGTGTCACAACCCTCTTATGACCTTGGTCAGTTCGAGAAGCAATTCCTGTTCTGCCACAGCATAGCTACTACCACTATGGCAACGCTGGGAAGTTGGTGTTGAAATGTCATTTCTGGAAACAGGAGCTTTCAGAGATGGAACCTCCAGAGTGATTTTGCCTCAATAACTAACTGTGGATACCTGCAGATAGATAGAATGACATTTAAACGTTTCCATATTTTACTGTAATTGAAAACATTCAGATGAAGTTGGATTCAAAAAGGATGTTATAGTTACTAAGTTAACTCTTACAGTAGAATAGCTTTCTTGCTGTCCTTCTAAAAAGCAGTTGTCTTTGAGCCAAAACTGGCAGTTCTTACACTTGTCATCAGACTATATATAACCTTCTGACCACGAGGAAAGCAAATTTTTTTGATCTCTGACACTTAAACATTAATTGATGTGTACTACGCTAATTTATTTCAATTTAATATAGAAGTAAATTAATTTTAAATGTGACAAGATCGCATCAAAATTCTCTAGTCCTGAGAGATGACACCATATGGCATCATGCTCAGCATACTGAGCTCGGGAAGAAGAAGGAAAGAGGGTACATTCCGAGTGACGGCGTTTGTCTTTCCAAGTCACTGTTACATGTGATGGAGCCCTGCTTTCCTGGGGATGGCTGAACTCCTGTCTGCCCATGAGAAGAGGTGAATAATTACTTGTTTTGCTTTGCTTGCATGTGTGGTTTTTGCTTTACTATTAAACTTTTTCCATCTCAACCCGTGAGTTTTCTCAGTTTTACCCTTCTGATCCCCTGCTCCATCCCACTGAGGGGGAATGAGAGGCTGTGTGGGGCTGAGTTGACACCTGGGGTTAAACCACGACACAAAAGTCATTTTGCACCTTAAGATGTAGTTTGATGCCAGGTATTTGCTAGCTAACAGAATGGTTATAAGACACAGTTTCTCCAGACACTTCCCAAGGCTTCAGCTTTTAGGAATGATTAAGATGTAACATAAAAACACTGATCTCACAGAATAAGGGCAGCAGGACTCATCTGATAAACATTACCACACTTAACTCATGATCTAGACCCAGGCCCTGTTTTGTAACACTATAAATAAAAAACCCATAAATACCATGGACTGGGGTCAAAGTATATTCAAACCCAAAAAGATTCTACGTATTGATTCATTTCAGTCAATAAAATCTCCACTTTCAGCAATTCATTAAGATGAGAACACTAGCAATGTAAGCCAGCACTATAAAAACCACCTCAGATCATAGGATCACAGAACTATAGAACAATTAGGGTCAGAAGGGACCTTAAAGATCATCTTGTTCCAATCCTTCCTGTCATGACCAGTGACACTTTGACTACACTAGGCTACTCAGAGCTCCATCCAACCTGGCCTTGAACACCTGCAGGGATGGGACATCCACAGCTTCTCTGTGCAACCTCTGCCAGTGTCTCACCACCCTCACAGTAAAGAATTTCTTCCTAATATCCAATCTAAATCTACACTCCTTCAGTTTAGAGCCATTCCTCTTGTCCTATCTGGAGGCACCTCTGACCATGACAAGTACAAAGAAAGTTTTACTCAGAAATAACTAAAGCAAGAACTTAGTTGCTCAGTAATCCTTAGTACAACAGACTGACTTACTGTTGAGACAGCAGTATAAAACCACATTGATTATGCAGATGATATTCATAATGGTGCCTCCATGAAATTGCTCTGTATAATAAATTCAGTGAGCAATAATTTACTGCTTTATTTTGAGGGCACTGTAGTCACAATTTGTGCAAGATACAGAAAGAAAGTGGATCTTGCTTAGAAAGGCCATGGTCCGGAACCTGCTGTATTACTACTATTATGTGATTTTTTAGGTTATGAAAAGAATGTACTGGAAAGATTCATGATAGCTAGGTCAAGAAGAGCTTCAGGATCTGAAGAATGTCTTGTTTGACTTGCAGGGACCTTGATTCCTGAGCCATGGTTTGTTGTGCTAGGTACCATCAGAACAATTTGAGGCATTTAAACAAGTGAATCCGGCCACAGGGTGCCTCAACACAACATGGTCTGCCTCAGCACAACATGGTCTCTACTCAAGGGGACCCTTTACCCACTCAAACAACGTTTTCTACTCAAGGGTAAAAATACTCAGCTGGAAACAATTTTTCCTTTAAGTGCCTTGAGTGCCAAAGACTGTGTCAGGAACATCCTAAGAACACAGAGCTACCACAAACTTTGCAAGTCTCAACTTGAAGAGCAACATTAACCTCTTTGATCTTCTGTAAACAAGTATTCATATATAACATAATAAACTGCTAACCATTCCAAATCACACACTTCTTACCCTGGAGAGAGTATAAGAGAGCAAGTAAACACATACCAGATGTTAGTTACTTGTTTGCTTTAATTGCTTCAGTTGTTTCAGTGAGCTACTGGATAAGGACTCATATGGAATAGAAAATGAAATGACACAGAAGAAAGATGCTTACTGGAATAATGGACATTATTTTCCAAGATAATGAAAAAAAACCAACAAATAGAAGTTCCAAATGTTAAGCTTGAGGGCTAAATAAAAGCCAGTCATAAGGAAAGCTGTGTGAAAAGGATATAAACATTAGAATAAAAAACAAAACAACAGGATCTAACTCTTCCCAGTCCAATTTGAAGATGGGCTCTAGCCAGCACTTCTGCAGTCATACACTGTTGGTGAGGCCACAGGCCCATTGTCTGCTTGGAAGGGGGACTGCAAATTTCTGGGCTTTTAGCACGCTGTTAAATCCCTAAAGCTCACAATAGGAGGGTCACAGAGACAGAGTTTGCATATATGATCCCTCTGAGACAGCTATGCTGCAGATGTATAACACACCCCAAAGTGCTGTGGTTTTCCAACCTCTTCTGGAACAAACTGCTCAAAGATTTTTAGTGGTAATATGGATCCCAGACTACACATTTATTTGTCAGCAAAGTTTCGCTTTCTCAGTTATTTCAGTTATCTTCCACATAGTATCTACAAGAAGTCCCCATTCTCTGTGAGGTTCTACACCACAAGCTGCAGAACATCTTTTTGGACATGCTGCACATTTTAGCATGGTAGTACCTTGGCTACTGGTAACTCCAAATTAGGGTAGGTTCAGCTTTTCTGTGATTACTCAGGCACAACAGAAAGAAAGTTTAACTGCTTTGCAGTTGAATAGGCTTTGTTGTGTTCTGCCACTTAAAATACTCAAAGACAGCACAAGCCTACAGATTTTCTACCAGTCTGCTCCGTGGCTATCCTGTCCATAGCCTCGCCTCCTGCTTCCTGAACAGCTGCACTTCATAAGACTCTGAAGACTAAATTCACATTTCAGGATGGTTTCCTCTAAGTTGAAGAAACATAAATACAAGGGCCTAGTCCTGCTCAGACTGAAGTCACAAGGGATACAACACTGACATCGCATACAAATCTCGGTAACTCTACAAAGTACTTCCAGAACTCAAGGAAATTTTTTCCCAAGGAATCTGATGATCTTGGTAGATTTCCATTTTAGGGTTCCCATTCAGAAAATTGAGTTCTGAGCAAATTCACTCTCAAGGGTCTTATTATTTGCCATGCCCAGTCACCAGATGATACAAATACCTCGGCTCTAACTTCTGCTAATTTCCTGACAGTTAACAGCTTCTCCAAATTTCCCTAGCTACACATATGCAGCTTTGGACATCTACTTTTAAAAAAGTTGTGAGTATGACCCTAACAAACTTCAGCTCAGGATCAACATTTCACTGATTTTTTAAGTGTTTGAATTTCCCCACTCATCACAGGACAAATACTTGTCTAAAGCACTGCCTAGGAGTACTGTCTATGCTTTCTGACTCACTGAGCAGAGAAAAACATCTAAATGCATATATAATTTACTTGATCAATCACAATTAGGGATTTGGACTGAAATCCAGTTAGTATGACTTAAGCTGTTCTCTGTCAGCAGGGCAGTAATAACTGCTTTAGCACACATAATTAAGCCTGAAAAAATGTAAGATAATATTACTTGGCACAGCCTCTTTCATTGTGATATAAGATGTAACATTCAACTCTCCTTTGTAATATTTGAGACAGTTAACTATAAAGTCATTCACAGCCTGTGGAGGCAGAGGTTAACTTTAAAAAGTCATCTGGCACAAACAGCAAGCCCATCTGAGAAACTGCTATGTAGTTATGGACGTTCTGTGAGGCAAAGAGGATAAATTCATCAGCTAAATTATTCGATCAGTTGTAATTTATTTTTTATATTCCATTGGCAGTAACATCCTTTATCCAGAATACTGCATTAAAACGTCATGAAAATAATAGAATTATGCAATTACATTTCTTTTAAAATGGATTTAGTAGAACCTCCCAGAAGACCTTAGATAGATAAAGTTTGAATTGAAATACCCAGGGCCAAATTTTGTTCTGATGTTACTTCCAAGGAAGCCTACTTGGCTATGTTCACCCCTGTAAAATTCAGTTTTAGAAACTGAACTTATGCCAAATGTTTGTGCATCTTTGCAATAAAATGAAACCAGAAAGAAATTATAATAATTTGGAAACAACAGTAGCTGCTGACAATAAAATGTAAAATTATTTAAATATCTATACCTGTGGAAAAATATTCTTCAAATATAGTTTTGGGTTTGGGTTGTTGTTTTTTTTTTTAAATCACCTCCTCCAAAAGACTAATAAGGAAAAAATGAAGCTATTCTAACTCAGAGTAAAAGAACACAAGCAAGAAGAGCAATAAGCATCTCTAGCCCATGGTTCATACCACCTAGCTTAGGCACAGGTTTTCAGGGGAGGTGAATCACCAGAGGTGGGGTCCACCTCTGTACTGACTAGATAAGCAGCCTATATGACTAGTGCTGTAAGGTGTATAACTTCCATGTGACTAACAGGAGGTAAAATGGATCCTGCCAAAGTGAAATTCTGCTGATTTCCACTATGAGGATGCTGGTGAGGACAGAGTATACGCAAAGGGTTGGGTATGAAAAAGGGGCACAGGAAAAACACACCGGCTGTAGCATCAACATGAGAGAAGCTTCTTTGGGAATGCAGTCTGTGATCTGAATTGCTTTCTCATATACATAAAGAACAAGGAGCAAGATCTAATATCA